TCCCCCTCCTCCTCCTCCTCCTCCTCCTCCTCCTCCTCCTCCTCCTCCTCCCCCTCCCTCCTGAACTTCCGCCGCGAGCCCTGAGCAGTCCCGCCCGCCCACCTCTCGCGAGCCCCCCTCCCCTAGGAGAGGCCAGCGAGCCGAGGGCGTCGGCGCCCCCGCGGGCGCTCCCGCGGCCGAGCCGAAGCACGTGCCCGAGGGCCGCTGCTCGCCGACGCCGGCCGGCGGAGCCGAGAGCTCAGCTCCGGTGCGGACGACGACGCGGACGAGGGCGAGGACGACGGCGACGGCGACGGCGACGACGACGGCAACGACGACGGCGACGGCGACGGCAGACGACGACAAACGGCGACGACAGACGAGGACGACGACGGCGACGAGACGACGGTGACGACAGACGACGACGACGACGACGACGACGACGACGACGACGACGACGACAACGACGACGACGACGACGGCGACGGCAGCCAAGGCGACGACGGCGACGATGATGACGGCGGCGGCGGCGGCGGACGCGCCTTCCGCGGCGCGCCATCTCGGCGCATCGGGGCCGCACCCTCTTGTACTGTGCCGCGCGCGCTGGCCGCGCGTGGGCGGGGGGGGGGGGAGTCGGCGGGCCGCGGGGGGTCGCCTGGGGATCGCTCCTCCTCCTCCGCCTCCTCCTCCTCCTTCTCCTCCTCCTCTTGGCTGCTATTGAAAACGCTGTGGGCGTTTTTGATTAGTTTTCCAATGTTCGTTTTTGGCGCGACCAAAACGCTCCAAAAACGATACCCTGGGATGTGGACGTCAAGTGGTGGCAGCGTGATCTTGAAAAACGTATAAGATATCCGGACGAAGGACCCAAGCATGTGCAATTGCGAGTGGCACAAGGCACGTGGGACGATGGAAGGGAAGCTCCTCAAGGGGCCACGGGACGTTTGAGGGTATGCCGACATGGGCGGGGGGCGTATGTGGACACGTCCGCCGCGGTTTTCGGTGGAGTTCCCTCGGGGCAGACCTCGAAACGCTGTACTGGGTGGCGCGGACGCATGTTATCACAGCCAATGGGGCCATCGGCGGAGCTCCCTATGGGGCCACGAAGCGCTACATTGGGTGGCGCGGACGTATGCGAACGTTGTCCCATCACCCCCACCCCAGACCTAAACGCCTTGAGCTAAACACGAGATCGGCCGCTGTGAGTCCCCTCTTTGGGCCCAGGGGCCGCCGACAAAAAACGATCCAGGACGAAAACGGGGTCCCCGTGAAGACGTCGAAAGATCAGTCGGTTGCGGCTTGGATTGCCCACCGCCCCCGCAGTGGCTTCCTCATTACTCGTCCTTGGAGCCTTTCGCACTGGAGGTCTTGACTCCGACGCCTCCACCTCCGCCTCCTCTGCGTCATCGGCCTCCTGCGCCTCCTCCTCCTCCGACTCATCCTCCTCTTGACCGCTTCCGTCGTCTAGCCTGCCTTGATCACTACCACACCTGGGATGGCGAACTGCTGATCCGACCACACCCTTGGGCACTACCACACCCTTGATCACACTCAGCCGCCTCCTCCTGCTCTGCCGCCTCCTCCTCCTCCTTCTCCTCCTCCTCCTCCTTCTCCTCATTCTCCTCCTCCTCCTCCTCCTCCTCCTTCTCCTCCTCCTCCTCCTCCTCGTCTGCCAGGCTGCGAACTGGGGACAAAAGCATCGGATGGATCTCTGGGCCGCCTAAGGAGGGAAGCTACCTGCGGGGTGGCCGCATGGTCGCTTCGCCGCAGGGCGCAGAAGCCTCCAGGTCGCCGGGCGCCTCCGACCCACAGGGCACCCAGGCAGGCCGGGCCGTGAAAAAAAGGGATCCCGACGGAGGGGAGGAATTGCGTGGAGTCGGCGGGGGGAGGAGGAGGAGGAGGAGGAGGAGGAGGAGGAGGAGGAGGAGGAGGAGCAGGAGCAGGAGCAGGAGCAGGAGCAGGAGGAGGAGGAGGACCGGTGTGAACCCAAGAATCATCAACGATGTTGGAATCAACCCTCCCTCCGAGCTCACTCCTCATAAGCGCATATAAGGGTTCATTTCCACTGGGGGAACTGCCTCGTTGGAAGGCAACCGTTTGAAGACCCGGAAGCATGCCAAAATTTTGTTTTTTTGATTCCAATGCCACGGATCAACCTGATTGTTACGTCTTGACGATCCTGAGCGCAAGAACGCCACTCGTGGGACTTCAGCACCGCGAATCAACGTAACTGTTGCACCTTCAGAGTCCTGAGTCCTTGCAAAGCATCATTTCTGGTACGCTGATCATGGAAATCCGCGAATTTCCCTGCAACCTTTGGAAAAATGAATGTGCGCGGCGCTAAGGCAGGAGCCACATGTTGAAAAGGAACCGCCCTCAATCCGTGAAGCTCATATTTTGAAAACGGGTGGCCCTCAATCCGTGAAATTAGTATATATTTGTTATCGGATGTGAGCGGCGCTAATTAGAGCGAGAGCCACATTTTGAAAACGGTCCGCCCTCCATCTGTGAAACTGCTACTCGTTTTTAAGCTTCAGGGTCATAAGTGATGAGGAAGTCTCATGCGAAACGCCGGGCCCGCCCTAAAAACTGGCCTCGGGGTGCGACGGGGAGAATAAGGAGAAGGACTCGAGGAGGAGGAGGAGGAGGAGGAGGAGGAGGAGGTGAAGGAGGAGGACGTGGAGGAGGAGGAGGAGGAGGAGGAGGAGGAGGAGGAGGAGGAGGAGGAGGAGAAGGAGGAGGATGGGGGGGGAGGCGGTTGGCGTTGCAAAGGTAGCGTGCAACCTCGGCCTCCAAAGACTACGCTGTCGCTGTGAGGCACTCTTGGAGCATTTATCGCTGCCCAAAAGGCCTCGGAGAGCTTCAGAGTTGCTTCGGAATGGTTTCGGATCGCCTCGGAGAGCCGTGGACCAGCCTCGGATCGTTTCGTATGGCCGTGGATACGGGGCGGATGGCTGGGCCTGGGGGCAGAAGAGATCCCCCTACCTTCGGTTGCGACCCTCATGTCGCTTACGTCTGGAAAGCCGACCACTGGGGAGGACGAGACTTCTACATATTTCCGGAACCGTAGATCTACAGCTTTTTGGGCCCAAGTATACGCCTTGCTGTGTGACGTGAAGAAGCACAGTCCGTTTTGCCCTTCTACACATGTCTGATTCAGGTGCACAAGTTGCGTTCTGCATTCATGCGTTCCTGTTTGATGTGTGGAAACTGCGTGCTCTGCTGTGTAAAGTTGGCTCTCCGAAGATGGGTCTGGGGGCAGACGACATACCCCCTCTATCCTGACCTTCCAGAGTGCTAAAACATAGCCCTCCAGAACTATAGACCTATCTGGGCTGCCTAAAACCTCGACAGGAATTGAGATATCGAGGTCCTGGTGCTATTTTTAGCCCTCCTGGAAGGTCAGGGTATCCCGCCCCGCCTTTTTGTTCCCAGCTTCTGCCCGCGCCGCCGGCTAGCAGCCAGGCCGCCACGGCGGCCTGGAGCCCCCGCCCCACCCCCCGGGAGGCTGAGCTGCCGGCGCGGAGGAAAAACAAAAAAAAACGCTCGCTCAGGGGCGCCCCGGGGGCCCGAGGAGGGGCCCGGGGCGCTCACACACACAGGCACACATCGAATCGTCGCTCCCAAGGAAACTGGGGGAAGAAATGGGGGGAAATGGGGGGAGTGCGGGGGCGGGGGGGGAGGGACGCCCCGAGATCAGATGGGAAAGTTCTGGGGAGTCCTCGTCTGGCGATAGCAGCGGCTTCCCGCGGTCCCCGAAGGCCACGCACCAAAAGTCATTCTTGCCCAGGGTCACTCCTGCGTGTAGCCGATCTGTCGCCATGAGGTGAAGGGGGTCCCCGAGGCAAACGTGTCCTATAGAGCCTCCCCTGGACAAGCTTTTCATCCCGAGAGGTCTGCTGCCGGCCTCGAGGCACCTGCGGGAGGCCCGAGGTCCCGGAGATATCCGTTTCCCTCGGCCCTTGGACCTCTCTTGGGGCGTGTTCTGGCCAGAATTCTGAAGGGGATTTTCCCCGGATGCCCAAAGACGTAGCAAAACCGCGATTCTCGGACCTCTCGCTTCCTCGAGCCCCGTTCCCTGAGCTACCGCGCCTTGGCTTTTCCCATACGGCGTCCCCAGAAGTCCCGACTCGTTCCTCGGGGTCGGGTTCTCGTCCCGCTTCGTGCCTGGAGGGCCCTGGCGCCCCGCGACGTGGCTCCGGTGCCCTGCGACGGCCCCAAGAGGCAAGCCGCTGCCAAAACTGTCGTCTTGGTTTTGCACTTCGGTGGAGGAGTGGCCCCCTGGGGCTTTACGACGCAATGCCCTGACCTCTCCTGGGGTGCGCCCTGGCCAGGCATGCAGCGCGAGTCCAGCCGTGGCGACGACGAGGAGTCCAGCCGTGGTCCAAGACGTGCAACATCCCCAGGTCGCCGCTGGGGCGCGGAGGTAACCGCGCCTCGCGCGTCGCAGTCTGCACCGGAGGGCTGCATTCCCCCGGGAGGGGGGGGGTCGGCGGCGCGGCGCGTTGGGGTGGCGAGGGCCAAAGATCACCGCGCGTCGCGCGTCGCGGGCCGCGATGCGCGAAGTCCGGCGCCGGCCGCCAGGGATCCCGACCACCTTCCTGGGCCCGCGCCTCATCCCGAGCAGTTGTCTGACCGCCCTGGGGCTGCCCCCCCCCCCCCCCAATCGGTGGCCAAAAATCTGCGCGTCGCGTCTCCGTTCCCGAGGCGAGAGGGTATGGGCAGGGCCCCAGGGAAGTTCCAAGGCGCGCAGCACGTCGAAGGCCCAGGCAGGTTTCTCCAGGTGCTCGTTGTCTTATTCCGTGCTCTGCCGATCGGCGCGGGCCCTCGCACCCCCCCCCCTCCCCCTCCCCCCGTGGAGTAGACCTTGGCTGTCGACGGCGCCTCCGTCGAGCAGGTGGAGCCTGCCCCACAGGACGCGCGGCTGCACACAGTCGCGCTCGGCAGAGGTCCCGAGCCAGACCTCCCCCTCCCCCCCCCTCTCCCCTTTCCGCCCAGTGTCGAAGCGCCGCACACGAGGCCGTTCCCAGGGACACTCGCGGGGGCCTCGGAGCTGTGGCCGCGCCCGGCGCGGCGCGGCCGGGGCCGGAGCGGTTGCCTGCCCCCCCGGCCGAGGGGTCGGCGCGAGGGCGCCCGCGGAGGTGACCGCGCCTCGCGGGGGGCGCGAGGGGCGCGACGCTGGTCCTCGTGACCCCGCAGGGGGGTCCAGCTGAGAAGGGGGTGGTGCAATTGGTTTGGGGCAAGTCGTATGGCACACGTGCTGCGCCAGGGAGCTGCAGTGCACTGTACTTATTGCAACTAGTGTGCTGCACGCGAGAATCCAGCAGTGCATTTGCGCCCAGACATGTATCGCACACCCCAAATCTACTGCAACCCCTCTAATCGATTGCACCAGATCCATTGCACCACCCCCTTTTCGCTGGAACCCCTTTTGGGCCAACCAGGGTTAGGTGATCTACAAAACCAAGTCTCGGGGCCTCCTGGGCCTCGCAGGGCAGGCCCTCCTTTGCAGCCGAATCCCAGGGCAGGCACACTCTCGGCCTCCGCTTGGCCTCCTCGTCGCCACGGCTCGTCACGAAGGACACGGCCAAGAATATCAGCACGCTCAGCCCCTCGACGAGCTGGGGGGTGGATAGGGGGGCAAACGCGCGGGTGGGGGGGAGGGGCGAACGCGCAGGGGGGCGGGCGTGGCCTCGCAGGGCTCGTGCGAGGCCCATGCGAGCTGGCTGCCGTGCCTTGCGCGAGGCAGACGAGGGCGGAGGAGGAGGAGGAGGAGGAGGAGGAGGAGGAGGAGGAGGAGGAGGAGGCCACGAAGGATCACGCCCCAAATCCTCGAGCTTAGCTGCCCTGGTTCGCCCGTGTTGAGACGCAACACGTGCCGTGCTCGAAACGTCCGCGTCAACACGCTGCGTGTCGGCACGGCACGTCTTGGTCCACGTATTTGGCGAACGCATCGCGCCAGACGTGCGTGCTCAGTCAGTACGTGTGGGGCCCCGTGTCAGCACGCTACGGGTTGCGTCTTGCGCACCAGGGCGGCTTAGTCCTCGAGCCTTTTTTTTTGTGCTGATCCCGGCCGCGCGGCCAGGGACCCGCCGCGGCGCTCGCCGGCGGTGCCGGCGGCGGCCTCGATGCCGAGCCCGTGCGCCTGCGGGAGGAGGTCGCCAGGCTGCGCGGGGAGCTGCAGCAGCTGCGGAGGCAGTCCTCCGCCGAGCAGAGCAGGACGCCCTGCCCTCGCCCGCCTGCCGCTGTCGCTGCTGGCGTCGGTGTCGGTCACGGCGCTGCGCAGCTGCGCTGATGCAGTCGGCCCGGATCAGTAGGTCGGCCCTGCCAAACAAAGAGTGCCCATGCGTCCTGTGTCTCGCGACCCATGCCTCCTGCATTCTTGTGGCGACGTGGCCCTTGGAAGGGTCTCGTGTCCTCTCGCGCGTCCTGTCCAATCAAGGCCGACTGTACGCACGTTCTGAAACGCAGCACGTGCCGTGTTCGACACGTCTGTATTGACACGCTGCGTGTTGGCCCGGCACGTGCTGGCCCACGTTTGGGCCCTGGGCGAGCGTCTCGCGCCTGACCTTCGGGGGTCAGTCTACGTGTCGAGCTGCGTGTCAACACGCTGCGTGGTATCTGTTGCGTATCGCCCCTGCAGTGCCGTTTTTTTTATACATGCTCCGCGTGCGGATCATGTATTAAACATGCGTGGATTTAGCATTAAAAACAACGATGAGTTCATACATGAATCATTATTAAAAATATTATATTAATCATGTATTTAAAATCAGTTTAAAAATGTATTAAAAACTGCCATGTGGGGGGGGTCACCACTGCAGTCCTAGCTTGATCACCCCCCCAAGGGGCGGTCGCCCCTAGGGGGGGGGATCAAGCTAGGACTGTGTAAGGCGAAGCAGACACAGGATCCCACCCGCCGAGGGCCCCCAAGGGGGGTTGCTGGGTCCCCCAGCGCCCCTTGGGGGAGGGGAAGGAGCAGGAGAAGGAAAGAGGGACCTCGTCATATGCTGCCCTCGGGGAACGAAAAGTGGCATGAACATAAAAACTCGGAGGTCCGCGCGGATTTCTCGGATCTGCGCTGGGGCCCCCCGGCGGCGCCTCCGGCGCCGCGCCTGGCGCGCTCCGCGCGCCAGGGAGGGGGGTCCAGCGCCGATTCGAGAAATCCGCGCGGACCTCCGAGGTTTTATGTTTATGCTACTTTTCGTTCCCCTAAAAGAGGGCCTCGTCATGCTGCCCTCCTCCTCGCCCTCGCCCCCTCCTCAGAGCCCCCCCGCTGGGCCCTGGGGCCGTGAAAGACGGCTCAGGATGAGAAGCTGGTCCGGGGGAAGGGGTCGAGACCTCAGAGGGCCCACGCCTCGAAGAAGACGAGGAGGAACAAAAACCAGCTGCCCAGACATTTGCTGCCGGAGCTCAGCGCGGGTTGCTTGCATATCTGCGCCAGGGCCCCCTTGGCGGCGCCTCCGGCGCCACCCCTGGCGCAGCTTCTGGCCGCCGCGGCTGGGTCCGCCGCGCGATTCTGGCCAGCACGCGCCCTTGGACGGGCCCTGTCGTCGATTCGTGGTTCGTGGACCCCGGGGCGCTGGTCCCCGGGCTTCCTTGCGCCGGGAGTCGGTCGGGGGCACCCCAGCGGTGCGGTGACCATGCCGCGCGGTGAGTCAGCCGTGATGCGGGGTCGCCACACAGATCTGGGCCTCGGGTCGTTCTCCGAGGATGTGTCGGGCGACTGGGGCCTCCCCGGTCCCAAGACCGTGCGGTGACGGACCGCGCGGTGGGGTCTCTTAGGATTTCGAGGGCACCGCGCGGTCTGTCACCACACGGTTCTGTGACCCTCAAGAGAAGCAAACATGACATAACGTTTTTTACAAATGTCTGCCCTTCGGGGCCTTCACCAGGGGTCGACAAAAGTGACTCGGGGTGGATGGCTTCGGGGAAGAAATCGAGACCTCCAGGGGGGGGGCACACGCTTTCCAACAGAAGTCTACGTCGGGGGGCTTGGAGCAGTCCAGGGAGGAGGGGTTCAGGGCCAGGGCCCTCGTCTGGGGGACGAATCTGGCGTTTGCGCGCCCGCTTGGTGGAGGCGCGCGTGCGGCCTTGGCTCCAAAGCTGGCGCACCTCGTTGATGGAAGGGGCATATTGCCGACCTAAGTCTTCGATTGCTTTGGGTTATGATGTTCCAGCCTACTTTAGCCTTGACCGCCAGAAAGAATTCTGAGCACCAACACAGAAACCGAAACTCCAGGATTTGCACGTGTCGGGCCCTGGGAGACACTCGTCCGACACTGTTTCGACACTCTTTCGACACTTTTCCGGGTGCTCGAAATTATTTCTGGGATGTGGTCCTTAAGTACGATGGAAGCAACATAAGCTTTGGGTTGGGGCTCGTCATTCTGCTGGGGCGCACAGAGCGGAAACGGTTACGCCTGGGCGTGATTGCGAGAATGGCGGGCGATGCTGACAGAGCTCGGGGAAGTGTGCTTACACATTGTGTTCCTAGTCTGAGGCCAATCTTTATACACCACCACCGCCCGCAACAGTAATTTACCGCAAAAAGGGTTAGGGGCAGGGTCATGCCAGACGACGCTGTGACGCCACGGCGAAAAGGAGCGCGGCGCAGCTCGCAGGCGCCGTGGCATGGGGAGTTCCTGGAGCAGAAACAGTACTTCTTGGTGGTGGTGTATAAAAATCGCTTCTCTTGGTAGCCAAAATTTTATACACCACCACCGCGCGTGCTTTGATGAATTCCGTTTTGGCCCTTAAGAGAGAGGGGGCAGCCCGTTTGCCGGTGGCGGCGGAGGGGGGCTGCGGGCTTTTCACCAGACCAAAATTGCATCAAATCGCCTCGTAGATTATTATCGATCTTGGTGGTGGTAGTCATATAATGTGTTCCTTCGTTTTGCCTCGCGTGAGGGCTCCTGGGGGCGTTCGCAGGCCCTTGGGCGTCGGGGGTGTTACGATTTGTGGGTAACTTTGGGGCCTTCCCTTGGGTCCGGAAAAGTTATTCCCTGACCGTTGATGGCCGATCCGTTGGGGAGGTGAGTTCGGACACACTGGGAGATCCCGCGCATCCGATCATCTTCGTGGCTTTCGCATCGAAGGTGGCCGCGCGGGGTGGTCTCCTTCCGTTGGATTAACTTGTGCTCTAATAGTACCCGTTCTTCGGTTGCGCGGCAACCGTTCAAAATCTTGGCTGAAGCGCGCGCGCACATGCATTGGCCCTTGGGCGAAGTGGTCTCGCATTGCCAGGCGTGTCGGCCGCAGCGTCGATGGAGCGGCTGTGCCGCTGTGGTGAGAACAAGACCCTACCCGCGGTGGGCGACACAGAGGCCCTGGACAAGGGCAGGGGTGGTACAGTCAAAAACCCTGATAAGGACGCGCGACTTTGCTCAGGGAACCCTTGCGTCCTTGCTCTTCCTTGCTCTTGCGTCCTTGAGGTTTTCGTCGCCCGCCGCCCCAGAAATCCCAACTTCGGCTTCCAAGGGTCTTGCGTCCTTGCCGCGCGTCCTTATTAGGGTTTTCGACTGCACCTGCGGTGGGTGACACACGGGCCCCAGACGAGGGCAGGGGTGGTAATTCCTCCACGCGCTCACAGGCGCGCGGAGACACACGGCATGCGTTCCCAGTGAGGCACTGGCCCGCCAGCGGGCGCCCCACGATCATGTCGTATATATCCCGATGGGGCCACAGGGCCCCGGCACCTTCAGTTTTCTTCCTCACTGTTTCGCCGATCGGCGCGGGCCCTCGCACGCCCCCCCCTCCCCCCCCCCCCCTTGCAGTAGACATTGGCTGCTTCTGGCGCCTGTTTCGAGCAGGTGGAGTCTCCCCCAGAGGACGCACGGCTCCAACCAGTCGCACTGAGCAGAGGGCCGGAGCCAGACCCTCCCTCCCCCCCCCCCTTCCGCCCAATGTCGAAACGCCGAATCAAAGAAGACGTTCACAATAATTGCGCCACGCGCTCAAAAAGGGTCGCGGAGATACAGCATTCGTACCGAGGGAGGAACTGGCCCGCCAGCGGGTGCTCCACGAGAACTTCTCATAACCACATGGCCCTGGGGCACCTTCTGGAGCTCAGAGTTCGGAGGAGGCGGAGGAGGAGGATCGAGGAGGAGGAGGAGGAGGATGAGATGGAGGAGGAGGAGGAGGAGGAGGCGGAGGAGGAGGATCGAGGAGGAGGAGGAGGAGGAGGAGGATCGAGGAGGATCGCGCCCCTAGATTCCTCTTGCAGGAAGTGTCCTACAGCGCGCGCACTTGCTGTACATATGGCCGCGCTGCGCGCGTCGTGGCCTATCTCTCTGTGGAAGAGACGACCTTCCCCGAGGCGGCGGCGCGGCACGCGTGAAGACAGCCGCGGTGCGCGATGCGCGAAGGTGGGTCGCCCGGGAACAACATTCAGAACCGAGCCGCAAATGCGCGAACTACAAGTTTTATATGAAGAGCAAGTCTGGTGCAGAGCAAATGTTTCGGCTTGGTCCCAGCATTTTGTGTCGGTCCCAGAATTGCCTGCTCGGTCCCAGAATTTGTGGCCTGCTCGGTCCCAGAATTTGTGGTTCGATCCACGGGCGGGACGGCTGATCAGGCCGTTCATCCGGCGACCGATCAGAGCTGTGGCGCTGGATCTCGCCATGAAGCAAAAAGGGGTCCTGGGAAACGTTCCGGGCCGCTAACGCTGTGTCCAAGTGGATGGGGTCCGAGGATCACGCCCCCATCGCCGATGCATAGGCGATGCGGCTCGATCCGGAGCCCGACTGTCTCCATCCCGACGACGCCTTCGCATTGCCGGTGCGTTGGTGGTGCTGCGCGTCGATCCTATCTGCCCAGACACCATTTGGGCGGCCTTGGGATGAAGACCTGGCCCCGAGGGAAAATTCGGGGGCGGCAAAGAGGGAGGTGATGACTAGGGGGGGGTGGATATCATGGCGTGGGCCATGATATTTCCCCAGAGTTCATGGCGCCCCTTCTCATTTCATTACGTACCTGGCCCCCTCCTGGGCCACGCACATGTTGCCGGCCATGATTCGCGCCCCCCCCTCTTGTACGCCCCCCTCTTGGCCGCCCCCGATAAATGCGGGCCCCACGAATATACACCACCCGGTTCCCTCCGCTTCCTCTTCCCTTTCGTGGGAGAGGGATGGGGGCGAGGGAGGTGGTGGTGGTTTGTATTTGTAAAGCCCCGTAGACGACGCCTTGGGATCCGGGACCCGTCTCTCTCAGAACCCGTTGCCTTCACGACGATGGTCGGCCTCGCGCGGTCAACGGGCCTCTCCCCCACTTGTACGAAGTCGGGCATGTCCTTCTACAGAAGGGATATTCAAAAATAGCCAACAGATACTACGGGGACGATTTTCCCAATATTTGTTTACTATTCTTGAGCATCTTTGGCTATTCTGATTTTTCGTCCAAACTCCGCCTGTAGGGGGCATGCCCGACCTAACACTCGCACGGCCCGCCCGGCGTCGTTCACGAGCGGCTCGGGCGGGTGCCGCGCGGAGTCGCCGACAGCGCTGCGTGTGCGACACGCTCGGGCGGAACAGACGTGGGCCCGATGGGATCTCGCAGGCGATTTTTGCCCCCCACCCCCCCCCCCCCACCCCCCCCCCCCCCCCCCTCCCCCCCCCCCCCTCGACTTTTCGACGAGCAATGAAGCCGCTCAGAAAAGAGGAAAAACCATGGGATACACCCCATGGGTGCTATGCGGACACACCCCGTGTCAAGGATGGACGCCCCCGGCCCCCATCGTATATCCCAGGGGTGGGCCCCAAGTTTCTGGTCCATCCGAAAACGCCACGAAGCCTGGGATAGGGGTCGACAGATCCCCTGTTAGGACCAGAATCGGCATCAGGCCATCGATTGTCTTGGATTGACCGGGATGTCGCTTTGCGTATTGGTTTGAAGTGCCATCGGAGGCGCAACGTTTTCCGACACGTCGCGTCTCTGGGGGAGCGACCGGCCAGGGTTTCGCTGCCGCCAGCGACGACCAGAGACAATCGCCGCCAGCGAAAAGGGTACGGATCGAGCACCAACCAGTGAGAGCGCGACTGGAATGCGATCAGGCGCGTGCGAGGAATCTTGTGCAAGCCAGCCAACCAACTTGAGGAAGCGCGGTGGACGGCAAGAGCGGCGGTCCGTGGTCTCGCTCTTCGGGAGGTCGTTTCGGACCACAGGGCCTCGGGGTTGGCTCGGGGCGTGTTTGGAAGCTGCGAGGCTCCCTGGCGAGGACATTCGAATTCATCCGAAGCCGATAGCCGAGTTGCTGTTCTCAAAGCAGTTCGCAGCTTACCATAGGTAGTGCCTCCGTCAATTTTGACTCAAGCGTCTGCCTTGTACCTTCGGCAGCCCCCTCGTTCGCAGCATGGCATGGTCGCTGCGGGTGGCGGTCACACCGTGCTGCTGAGAAGCGACGGGACAGCCGTGGCTTGCGGCTTGAATGTGGACGGGCTGTGCGACGTGCCGGCGCTCGGTGAGGGCCTGACTTACACGCAGGTCTCTGCGGGCAGCGGTCACACCGTGTTGCTGAGGAGCGACGGGACAGCCGCGGCTTTCGGGTGGAATGATGACGGGCCGTGTGACATCCCTGCGCTTGGTGAAGGGCTAACTTACACGCAGGTCGCTGCCGGTGGCGCGCACACCGCATTGCTGAGGAGCGACGGGACAGTTGCGGCTTGTGGCTTGAATGAGCATGGGCAGTGCGATGGTCCAGAGCTTGGTGAAGGGTTGACCTACACGCAGGTGGCTGCGGGTGCCCAGCACACACTTTTTCTGAGGAGCGACGGGACAGTTGCAGCTTGCGGTTGGAACGAGCGCGGGCAGTGCGATGTCCCGACGCTTGGTGAAGGCCACACCTACACGCAGATCGCTGCGGGTGACGCGCACACCATGTTGCTAACAAGCGACGGGACAGCCGTGGCATGCGGCTTGAATCAGAACGGGCAGTGCGACGTCCCGGCGCCTGGTGAAGGCCTGACTTACACACAGGTCGCCGCGGGCAGCGGTCACACCGTGCTGCTGAGGAGCGACGGGACAGCCGATGCTTACGGCTTGAATGAGCACGGGCAGTGCGACATCCCAGCGCTCCCTGATGGCCTTATCTACACGCAGGTTTCTGCTGGTAGTGGTCACAGCGTGCTGCTGAGGAGTGACGGGACAGCAACGGCTTGCGGCTGGGATTTGTTTGGGCAGTGCGGGTTTCCATCTCGTCCAATCCAATGGACTTGGTTGTTGTGGCAGCGCACCAGTCTCCGATACGTGGCATGCTCCTTGATGCCAACAGCATTGCCGTCGTTGGTTCTGCAGGCGTCCTTCGACGGCGCTTCGGTGCAATTTGTGACACTAAGCGGGGCGGACTTCGACCGAATCCAAGCAACGCCCGCCGATCACCTGGCGGACGTACGCGACCGGTTGATGGCAGGCCGCCTCTCACGCATGTTGGGTTCCACGGTCTCCACGGCTGACGCCATCCTGCCCACGGGCGGGTTGTTGAGCCAGGCGCCCACCGAAGTGACCTGCGCAGACACCTTCGGTCGCGCCGCCGACGATCATTGTCATAGTGAGGCCCCACGCGGCCTCGGGTTGCCTGATGAAGAGTACGGCGCGCTGGGAGCGCAGGTTCCGTGCTGGATGGAGTGCGCGTGGCTACTGTAGGAGTCGACACCTGGATGCGCGCGCGAGAGAACATATCGGCAGGGAGTATGGCTTCGATGTTGGCGTCGTGTCCGCCTTGGGAGGGCTCTGCCAGACTGCCCCTGAAGGTAGACATGCAGGGTTTTCCTTGCTCACCTACAAGAGGGTTCGCCCGCTGCGTGTCGGTGTGCTTAAACCGTGTCCCAGCAAATGGCCCCATTGATGGCTGTGCGAATGAGTTGGACACGCCACCGACTCACGAATGAGTTCGAGCAGTTTTTCGCCCTTTTAGACGGTGCTGACCCGCTAACGGCCTGCTGATTATCCACAAGTGCCTTGAGTTACTTTCGCATCGCGCACTGCCGTGAGTGACTAGAGAAGTTGCGCGCACCTCTGAGCCCATTAGCGCCCCATTGCTGCGGCAATGCGCGATATCTTTGTCAGACACGGCCCTCCCTGATAAATGCAGCCCAGGCCCCGTGCCTGGAGTTTGCCGACCCACCGGGCCAAAGGCTTGCTAGTGTGGGTTGTTGATTCTATACTTCGCGCACGCTTGCCGGAAGTAGCCCAGCCAGTTTAGCCGCCGGATACCCGAATGCTGCGGCGCGGCGGCCAGAGCGACCCAATGGGTCCATACCGCGTGCTAGGCCCTAAAACGACCCCCCAAAGGCAACAAAATAGCTTCAAGTTGCTCCAAGGTCGTCCGAAGCGGACCCAAGAATAGCCTTGAGTTCCAGCATGGTCCAAAACAGCCCTAGGATGCCCCATCGCTAGGACTTTGTTATGGTTGCAGCAGTGGCGCCAGGTCCCTATCAACCGGAAAGGTAGGTGAGGTGACCGAAAAACATGTGACCAAAAACGTGCCCGAAATTGTGACCGACAGCGTAGTGTGACCGAACTTGCCAGCCAGATTGTGAACTTTCTTTCTCGAGCCGAGGACTTCGGTCACACCCTGGCGCGTTCAGAAAAACATCGGGCGCCAGTTTCGGTCACACTCGGGCAGATTTCTGGGCACAAGCTCGGACACCACGCCCCCATGACTTGGCACCGCTCGGACGTGTGCATTGTTCTTGGGGCGAGGACCATCGAGGAGCATCCTGGATCATTTGGCGAAAAAAAAAAAAAAACACGCACGAAACCGACAAAAAGCACAGGGAATGGACGTCCGAGCGATGGCCAGATGAGGGGGACGAGGCTGCGTGAGATTTGCCCACACCACGGCCTGGAGGATCGACCTTCGGGGGCCCCGACAGGCCATCGGTAGGAATCAGGAGGGAAAGAAACACACAGACACAATGAATCGTCGATTCCCTAGAAAATATTGGAAAAATTGGGAAGTGGGGGGGAAGACAAAAACCGAGGAAATATGGGAAAATATGGTGAATCCTGTTATTTGTGTGTATTTATTTGTGTGTCCCAGGGCCCCTTCAATGAACATATTCGGCCCCCTGGGGCCCAAACTTATCCATGTCCACCGCGCCCCGGTCCCGGGACGTCGGTTCCCCAGACGGTGGACATGGACACGTCCCCGACCTGCAGTGGAGTGCTGCCAGCTCGCCCGGCGCCATGTCGGAGTCGCTTCGATCCATCTCGGTGCGAGTCTGAACCCTCCTTAGGAGGCGATTTGGACTCCTCAATCGCTCCCTCGGCGGCCTTGCATTGTCATTGAGAGCTCTTGGGTGCTTCTTGGTGCCCTCCTGCAAGTCCATCGGGGGTCTCAATCCGAAAGAAAACGCACAGCGATGTCGGTGAAACATCTTGTGAACCTTCGGTCGCACTCCAGAGGAAGTCAAGCCAGCGAATTTCCAGATTCAGCCCAGTTCTAAGAGAGCCGCCGCTGCCCAGCAGCTGCAAAGACGCAGATCATGTGCAGACCAATGCCAGCGATGATTCAGTCTGAGCTGGCGGATTGAGCAAACTGATTAGATGGACCCTTTTTACGTTGCCGTCTTCCCACATGCCTCCCAGAGTCTCTTCGTGGTCACCACTCCTGGCCATGTTGGAATCCAAGCAACAACGTTCGGAAAAAGAGGTGCGACGGTGGCTGCCCCGGACGGGGCGTTCCGGTACATAGGAAACCACGCCCCTCATCCATGGCCTGTTGGCCGAGCTCCGAACGCCGCCAGATGCCCGCGAAGAAGTTTATCGAGCACCTTGGGCGCAGACTGTATTCCTTCAATTGGCAGGGGCACAATGCGTTGGTTTGGGATTCGGGGGTCGCGTTGAAGAATCGCCGTTGGCTTGAGAACGTGCCCGGGCTGTGCTGCATGTGACGCTCGGAATTGCGCCCAACCACAATTCCCAGATCCACTCAGCGCCTGCCTGATCATGTGGTCCCCTCTGGTCCTCCCAGCGTGGCCCTCAACGAGCCAGGATGAAAGAGTGCATGCGCGGATAAGGAGCAGGAGGAGGAGGAGAAGGAGGAGGAGGGGGGGGGTGGGAGAAGGTGGAAGAGAGGAGATAGGGCAGGGCCGAGCCACGTGCGCTAGTGCGACACCTGACAACCTGCCCCTCCGACCCATGTGTTTCCATTGAGCTGAGCCCTTTTCGATCCGCCGACTGGGGCATTCTGGTGGACCTTGATGCCCAAATGGCAGTAGCAGGATCTGGCTCAGAGTGCAAGGCGCTTTCGGAAACGGCGGGGCATTTGTACCTGGGGTGAGTCGGAGGAGGAGGAGGAGGCGGAGGAGAAGAGGACCCGGCATGACTCGTGGTACGAGCAGAAGGAGGAGGAGCTTGACGAGGAGGAGTATGAGCAGGAGCGGCAGGAGCAGAAGGGGGAGGGGCTTGACGACGAGGAGGAGTATGAACAGGGGCGGGAGGAGCAGCAGGAGCAGGAGCACCAGAGGGGAGGGTGGAGGAGGGGAAACGAGGGGGGGGAGGGCGGCAGCGACGAGGAGCGAGGCGGATGGGAGAAGGTGGCCCGCGCCGGGGCCGGAGCGCCACTCCGAGCCTGACCGCGCCACTCGTGGATTGTTGTGGGCTGCCCGCTCTGCTTTCAGCCTTCTCGCAAACTCGGGGCTGGACAGAACCCCCCAACAGTGACACGTCGATTAGTGAACTGTCCGTTTTCGGTTCTCGAGAGGGCGCCGCGGCCGTTATTTTCCAGGCTTGCGCCTGCCAGGTTTGGGCCCGAGGTCGTTTTCACTAAACCACGTTTTACTAAAGGGAGGTCTGTCCATCCCCGACAAACCCGAGTCCATGCGAATTTGGCATGCGAGTTGGCGCGCTCGGTCGCCGCCGAGCGCGACGTGGAGCGGCGTTGCGGAAACTTGGGAAGGCCTTCCCGAACAGCGTTCTTTGGACCCCCCCAAAACATACCACCCCACGAACACACTGACTGCAGCGGCCCAATCGCCAGGATCCACGAGCTGGAGCAGCTGCTGAGGAGCCAGGAGCAGCAGCTGAAGAACCAGGCCTCCCTGCACGGCTCCGCGGCCACGGAGGCCGCCGTGCTGCGCGACAAGCTCGAGCGCGAGAGGCAGAACTGCGAAGCCCAGGCCATGGCCAGCGACCAGATGCGCCAGCGCTACGAGGATCACGAGGAAAAAAACACACAGACACAATGAATCGTCGATCTCCCAGAAAATATTGAAAAATATGGGAAGTGGGGGCGAAGACAAAAAACCCGAAAATATGGGGAAGTATGGAGGATATGTTTATGTGTGTATTTATTTGTGTGTCCTGGGGCCCCTTCAGAGGAGAGGCTGCGGGAGAAGTCGGAGGACACCCGCATGGACCAGGAGGCGGCCCAGAGGTCGATCCAGGCTGGCCAGGGCGCTCGAGCGTGCCGTCCCACTCCCGCGGGGCACGCTTCCCAGAGGGGAAGACTTGGCATCGCTCGGACGTGTGCGTTTTTTTCCTCGGCGAGGACCATCGAGGAGCATCCTTGATCATTTGGCGAATAAGACACGCACGAAACCGAAAAAAGCTCAGGAAAGACGTCCGAGCGATGGCCAGAAAAGGGTATCCATACCGCTACCCTTGCCCCGTTTGCCCCTTGGTCGGCCTCTTGGGAGGCCCTCGTCGCCACCGCTGGATTCGCTGCGACATTGTGGTCCGAACGCGCCAGGGGAGAGGTCGGGGGAGTAGCGGTATGGGTACCTTCTGGTTTCCCCAGTTTCGGTTCGATCGGTCCGATTCGATATCGATTTCGCCTTGATCCGATCCGATTTGGATTTCCCCATGGGAGCGATCAAGGCGGACGGTTTTTCTTTGTTTTCGGCCCATGGGGCCCTTGCTGGGCGGAGTGACCTTCAACAGGGGACTCGGGATGGAAAGCCAGTGCCACGGAAGTGGTCGAGGTTTTGGGGGGGCGGGGGTCGACGGTATGAGAGAAACACACATTTTGGTTCTGGTGATGATGGCGAGGAGGAGGAGGAAAGGGAGGAGCAGCAACAGGAGGAGGATACTAGACGCAGACAGGAGCACGCGACGAAGCATCGTCCCGTGACGGATCAGGGGTTCTGGTGCTCGAGCCGTTCTTCAAGATTGCCAAGCATAGCCTGCGCCACGTAGACCGAACCGCGTCGGCTGCCCAACAGAGCATGCACAGCATGTCTCGGATGGCCTCCGGCCCACGGATCAGGGGTTCTGGTGTTCAAGCCGTTCTTCAAGATTGCCCAGTATAGTCTGCGCCACGTAGACCGAACCCGCGTCGGCTGCCCCAACCCGAGCATGCACAGCACGTCTCGGATGGCCTCCGGCCCACGGATCAGGGGTTCTGGTGTTCAAGCCGTTCTTCAAGATTGCCCAGTATAGTCTGCGCCACGTAGACCGAACCCGCGTCGGCTGCCCCAACCCGAGCATGCACAGCACGTCTCGGATGGCCTCCGGCCCACGGATCAGGGGTTCTGGTGTTCAAGCCGTTCTTCAAGATTGCCCAGTATAGTCTGCGCCACGTAGACCGAACCCGCGTCGGCTGCCCCAACCCGAGCATGCACAGCACGTCTCGGATGGCCCTTCGGCCCATCCCGCCGCCGTGCCTGGGCTGTGGGGCCGAGTCCTCGGGGAGGTGTCCTCGGGCCACTCCGGGGCAGCTCCCGGGGGCCTCCTTGAGGAGGGGCAGCTCCGCCTCCCCGCCCTCGGGGCCGAGGGCTCGAAACTGTCCGCTCGGGCGCCCCGTCTGGGCCCCCCCTCTCTCGGGGCCGCCCTTGGGCCCCCCTGGGCCACCCTGGGGCGTTTCCTGGGCCGTCGTGGGGGCCTCCATCGGCGGCCTCCTTTTGGGGGGGCTCTTCGGGGGCCCCTCGGGCCATGTTGGGGCGACCTTGGGGGCGTCTTGAAACGTCGGGAGGCCGGAAACGCGAGAACCCCCGACACCTCCGGAGAAAGTCAACGAGTTTGGCCTCGTGGAGCCTTCGCGAGCACTTCTTGGAAACCCCTGGGAGCGTCATGGAAGCCTCTTGGGCCGTCCTGGGGCCATCGTGGGCGCCTTGGAGCGATCGTTTGGCGATTCGGCGCTCTCTTGGACAGTCTTGGAAGCCTCTGACGGCCCTCTTGGCCCGCGCTGGGGCCCTCTTGGGCCCGAAAAAAGTCATGCGGGAAGCAGCCCCGGAGCCCAGGGGGCACGCGGCGAGCCCAAGGAGATGTGTCAAGTCGGCGTCCAGGCCCGTAGACCACCCCTCGGGATTGAGAACTGAGGCTTCAGGCGTTTGGCAAAGGACCTGAGCACACGCCCACTCCGTGCCCAGCGGCACGGTGGCGGATGTTGCACCTCATAGATCGCGCCACCGCTATTGCTCAACATCGGTTGCACAGCACAGATTGCACCACATGGATTGTACTACACAGACTGCACCGCACAGACTGCACAAGATGTGCTGCTGGAAACGCGGTGCTCGGGGCCCACGCTGGCCAGCATGCTCATGAGTGTAGAAGTGCGGACGCGTAGATCTGTGCAACCAGTGCATCCGCACACCGTCGGCCCGGATTAGTAGGTCGACCCTGCCAGCTCAAGGGTACCCTTGTGCCCCGTGCCTCGCGACGCGTGCCTCCTTGCACTCCTCTGGCGATGTGGCCCTCGGAAGGATCTCGTGCCCCCTCGCGTGTCCTGTCCAATCGAGGCCGAATGTGTGAGTCTCTCCCCTTCTCTCCACCCGTGAAATCCACAGAGCCCTCCCCGAGCCCACGGGGGCCCTCGCCTCTCCTCCTCCTTCTCCTCCTCCTCCTCCTCCTCGCCCTCCTCCTCCTCCCTCCCCTCTTCCTCCTCCTCTACTCCTCCCCTCTCCTCCTCTCCCCCTCCTTCTCCTCCTCCCTCCTCCCTCCTCCCTCCTCTCCTCCCTCCTCCCTCCTCCCTCCTCCCTCCTCCCTCCCTCCCTCCTCCTCCTCCCTCCTCCTCCTATCCTCCCTCTCCCTCCTCCCTCCTCCCCCTCCTCCTCCTCCTCCTCCTCCTCCTCCTCCTCCTCCTCCTCCTCCTCCTGTGCCTCCGCTGCCTCCTCCTCCTCCTCCTGTGCCTCCGCTGCGCCCCTGCCTCCCCGCCCACCCCCAGGCGGAGCAGCAGCGGGCCCAGGGTGAGCGCCGTCGGGCCGAGGAGCTGGAGCGGCAGCTGCGGGAGGCGCGCGAGGAGCGCCGGCTCTCCTCGGCGTCGTCGTCGTCGTCGTCGTCGCGGTCGTCGTCGTCGTCGTCGTCGTCGTCGTCGTCGCCGTCTTCGTCGCCGTCGTGGCCGTCGCCGTCGCCGTTGCCGTCTTCGTCGCCGTCGCAACTCCATGGGCGGCGGGGGTGTTCGAGGTTCAAGCCTCGAGGATCGAGGTTCGAAGCTTTTGGGCCTGCGGGGGCCCTCGTCGTCGCCACGGCTGGACGCAGCTCGAAACATTGGTGCGTTTGGACCACGGCAGGGGTCTGGGGACCCACTTTGAGCGGAATCTGAAGCGACCCTCGCCGATGAACGGTTCAGGCAGCTCGATGGACGGCGGGGGTAGCGTTCGGAATTCGTTGAACACGTGGCGCAATCTGAACCCAACCCCCGCCTCCCGTCGATTCGAGAGGATCGACGGTTGGTGGGTGTAGGGTTCGGATGCCGCCACTTATTTCCATTTTGCAACGAGTGAGGGCCGCCCCACACCGCGGAGTTCGATCCTCTCGGGCGGTCTTCGGTTTGCCCCGAGCTTGCCCCGAGAGGGAAAAAACTGCAGAAGCATAAACTTCTGGAGCTCCGCGCGGATTTCTCGGATCGGCGCCTAGGACCCCTTGGCGGCGCCTCCGGCGCCGCCCCTGGCGCGCGAAGCTCGCCAGGGAGGGTGCCCGGCAGGGATTTAAGACATCCGCGCGGAGCTCCGAAAGTGCATGTTTCTGTGATTTGTTGTTCCTCTACGGTCGGACCGAGGTATGATACCAAAGTCGGTTCGAGGAGGGTACTCTGATGTTCTTCGTGTTTGTTTGGTGTTCTTGTGCGTCCTGGGGGGTGATATACCCTTGACTATTCGTCAGTCTAGCCGGCGGAGAGTCATGTTTTTGAAGGGAGTCCTTCTATCCTAGGTCCGACCGTATTGCCATGAGCCCACTCTGTCCCGAGCTTGCCCCCAGCCTGCGCCACCGCGCAGGGGGCCTTCCAGAGGTGGCCTTCGGACAGGGCTAGGACGAGGATAAATCCGTTCCAGAGCGTTCCAGAACGCTCTCAGAACGTCTTGGAACGCTCTGAGAAGGCCGGTGCGCCCGAGACATCCTCTAGAGCCGCCGGATTTCAGGGGTTCTCGATTTCTCCTCACCCGATTTGCTCTTCGCCCTTGCTTCGTCCCAGGCCTTGTCCTCGGCGTTTGCGTCGCCCTCGGGGGAAGGATGAGAGGGACATGCGGGCGGAAGCCCGGTGGGAGTGAAGGCGGATGGTTTTTGTTTGGGGAGGAGGGGGTGGGAATTCGGGGTCATCGAAAGGCGGGGGGGGGGGGAACGAAAGGGGGGGGCAACCAAGAAAGATGACAGCCTTCGGCCCTTCCGCTCAGGGGCAGCGCTGGGGAGGAGGAGCTCGAGATTCTCTGGCGTTTTCGTTTGTCCTGGGCGGCTCTTTGGCCTCGCGGTGCTCTCCAGAGCAGCTGCGCCTCGTCGAGGGGCCTCCGGGGGCGCCCTGGAGCGTCCCGAAGGGCCGCCGAAGGGCCGCCGGAGGCCCGAGCTTTTTGGCCCGAAGGCCACCGGGGACGGGGATGAGCTCAGGAGGCGGAGCGCGTCGCCCCCCCCCCCAATGGCCCACCCAGCCCAGGAAGGCCCCATAGGGAGGAGGAGCAGGAGGAGGGGGAGGAGGAGGAGGAGGAGGAGGAGGAGGAGGAGGAGGAGGAGGGGAGGAGGGGGAGGAGGAGCAGGAGGAGGAGGAGGAGGAGGAGGAGGAGGGGGAGGAGGAGGAGGAGGAGGAGGAGGAGGAGCAGGAGGAGGAGGAGGAGGAGGGGAGGAGGAGGAGGGGAGGAGGAGGAGGAGGAGGAGGGGAGGAGGGAGGAGGAGGAGGAGGAGGAGGAGGAGGAGGAGGAGGAGGAGGAGGAGGAGGAGGAGGAGGAGGAGGAGAGGAGGAGGAGGAGGAGGAGGAGGAGGAGCGTGGCGCCCCATCCCCATGGCCCACGGATCGCCGAGAGGGGGCCCGATGGCCCCACGCAGCCCAGGGAGGCGCGGCTTCACTAGCCGCGGGCCTCTCGCCGAGCCGTCGGCGACGCGTCGCCGAGCCCAGGTCGACGTGTCCCCCCTCTCTGTGCCAGTCCCCCTCCCCGTCGCTGGCCCCACGCAGCCCAGGGAGGCGCGGCTTCACTAGCCGCGGGCCTCTCGCCGAGCCGTCGGCGACGCGTCGCCGAGCCCAGGTCGACGTGTCCCCCCTCTCTGTGCCAGTCCCCCTCCCCGTCGCTGCCCCTCAGGGCTCTCCCTCTTCCTTGCCAGCCCCTCTGTGCCAGCCCCCCCCCGTCGTTGCCCCTCTCAGGAATCTCCCTCGTCCCTGCCGGCCCGCTGGTGTCGCGAGAGCATTAGGACGCAAGGGCGCCCTCGAGGGCGCGAAGCTGCTAGCGCTTCGCGCTTCGCGGTTCGGCTCCGATTCCTCCTCGTCTTCCTCTTCTGCTGCGGGGCGGCGCGAGAGCGCGAAGTTTTTCGCGCAGCGCGAAGCGCGAAGTTAGGCGCCCTTGAATGTGTCCTTGCGTTTCCTCCTCCTTGCCAGGCGGGTGTCAAGACGCGAGATGTTTGTAATATGCGGCCTCAGAGGAGCCTCACGGGGCCCTGGGAGCGTCAAATAACGACTTAGGATGAAAAGTCTACCCGGACTCGGTCGAGACCTCCACCAGGGGTCCACGCCATGAACAAGTTTATGACGTCGGGGGCTTGGGTTATTTCCTCCCCTAAAGTTCCATTTCGATCCGAGGAGCGCTACCTCTTTCTTCACCACGCTTGCGCCGCCCCGCATCGCAGGGTCCAGTTCGATCCTCTCGGGCGGTTTTCGGGCGATTCCGTCGGTTCCCGGAGGTGTTCCTGCCTCGGGACGCGTTCCAGCAGCTTCGCTTCGTGGAGGAATGTTTCGGGGGTGTATAGGTCCCCAACGGCCGCCATAGACCCAAGGTGCGACCCCAAAATTGGAGTCAGGGTCCTTGTCGAGCCGATCAATCCGGTTGGCTCAATATCCGACATTCCGACGGTCTGATGCGGTCCGGTGTTTGCACGGCATTGAAATGCATCTTGGCGCAGCCGATCCGCTTCGATTCCCCATCCGTGCTGATGCAGCATGTTCCGACGCACGTTCCAACCCAATTCGATTTATCGATTCGATACTGACTGATCCTGCTTCGGGGAAACGAAAGACTCTAGTCTGCCGGAACTCGGATCTGCCACCCAAAACTTGGCGGTCTCAGGCGTGATCTTTGACGATCCAATTTTCGTGAGGTGTCTGCACCAGGAGCTCGCGCAAAGTCCCGCCGTTTTCCTGAAGTCCCCGTCGATGCACTTCGCCCCCCCCTCCCCCCCCCGACCCGAGTCGTACGCCTCCCCGATCACAGACCATCCACTGCTGGGGGAGCCCCAGGCCTCCAACGTACTGTCAACAAGAGCACGGCGGAGTTGTTCCTCTCCGTTTTCGGCATCTGTGGAGCCCTCTCTGAGTCTCTGGGCCCTGGGACAGCCACAGACCGGCTCGGGAGAGTGAGGCTGGCCCTGGGGAAGGGGCCAGGATCTCCGGGGACCTCGCAGGGGCAGAGCCTGCGCATCCGATCCCTGAGTTCGCGGTTCGGCAATTGTCGGGGGCGGCAAAGAGGGGGGTGATGACTAGGGGGGGGTGGATATCATGGCGGGGGCCATGAGATTTCCCCAGATCTCATGGCGCCTCTTCTTGTTTCATTACGTCCCTGGCCCCCCCGCCTGGCCGCGCACATGCGGCCGGTCATGATTTGCACCCCCCCGTCTTGGACACCCCCCTCTTGGCCGCTCCCGAAATTGCGATCGGCTTGGGGACGCAGAGGGTGGGCACGAATGCCAGCAGAATTTCCTCAGGGGTCGCTGTCGGTGCCACCGTGGGCGCTCTCGGTTCGAGACGAAAGCCGCCCGCCAGAAGGCGACCGTTTCCGGCATGGGGCATCACGCCCTCTTGGACATCGTCTCGAAGAGCAAAGTATGTCAAGCATCTGCATGAGCATCGTTAGGTTTTCGGAGGTCCGCGCGGATTTCCTCGGTCGACGCCGGATCCCCCTCCCGGTCGCGCGGAGGGGGTCCAGCGCCGATCCAGTAAGTCCGCACTCCGCGCGGATCTCCAACAGCTTACGTTTACCCAGTTATTTGTTCATCTGCCGTGCCCGTTCCCTCTTTTTCTATTTCAGGCGTCCACAGTGGTCCTGATTTACTTGGGGGGCACATCGGCTTCGAAGTCCCCCTCTCGAGAGAGCGTCGACGCGACGTGTTCCCCCAGGGGTGGGGGGCAAGGAGCACAGCTTCACCTCAGTTACGGCTGGTTGCCATGCTTCGCGGATCCACACCAGCCCGTTCAGAAACGTTGCCAATGGGAGGTGACGGGAAAAGAGACGAAGACACATATATGTATATGCATATATATATATATATATATATATATATATATACAGTGAAACAAAGCGGGCACCAGGATGAACCGGGAGATCTCCGAGAGCACGGGGGGGCCTAGTGGAGGGCCTCTTCGGGCCATCCCTGGGGCCCGCGGGGGAGTGGAGGTGCAAGGGGAGGAGGCGGAGGAGGAGGAGGAGGAGGAGGAGGAGGAGGAGTAGGACGAGGAGGAGGAGGACGAGGAGGAGGAGGAGGAGGAGGAGGAGGAGGAGGAGGAGGCAAACCGCCTCTCGGGACCCTCGTGAGGCGCTCTTGGGGCGCTCTTGGGCGCTCTTGGGGCCGTCTTGGAGCCGTCTTGGGCCCTCTTGGGGTTCTCTTGGGGCCCTCTTGGGAGCCTTGTAAGGCTTCTTGGGGCCATCTTGTAGGGCGTCGATCGAAGGAGGGAGGGTCCTCGATTTGCGTCCAACCCCCCTGGGGCCATCAACATCGTCTCCTGGGGCGCTCTTGGGCCGCTCCTGGGCGCCCTTAGGGCCGTCTAGCGGGCCTTTTGGGTCTCTTTTGGGCCATGTTGGGACCATTTTGAGACCTTGCAAGCGAGTCGGA